TCTTCCTTGACCCAGGAATGGTGCAACTGGGCATTGTTCAATTTCCATGAATTTGTAGAATTTCTGCAATTTGTGTTGTTGTTAAATTCGAACTTTAAAGCATGCAATACAGGGGATTTTTCCATTTTTTTCTTTTGGTATCCGTTGAGGCTTGCTATGTTGCCAAGTAGGTGATCGATTTTTGAGCAGGTTCCATGTTACACTGAGAAGAAGGTACATTCTTTTGTGTTTGGATGGAATGTTCTATAGATGTCTGTTAATCCAAATTGAGTCATAACTTCTGTTAGTTCCTTTATTTCTTTGTTAAGTTTCTGTCTGGTGGTCCTGTCTAGTGGTGAGAGTGGGGTGTTGAAGTCTCCCACTATAAATATGTGAGGTTTTATGTGTGATTTAAGTTTTAGCTAATGTGGGTGCCTTTGTATTTAGGGCATAGATGTTCAGAATTGAGACTTCATCCGATGGATTTTTCCTGTGATGAATATGAAATGACTTTCTTCATCTCTTTCGATTGATTTTTCTTTGAAGTCTAATTTATTCAATATTAGAATAGCTACATCAGGTTGTTTCTTGGGTCCACTGGATTGGAAAATATTCTTGCAACCCAAGACTCTGAGGTAACATCTGCCTTTGAAGTTGTGTTTCTTGTATGCAGAAGAAGGATGGATTCTGTCCTTTGTATCCATTCTGTTAGCCTGTGTCAATTTATAGGAGCGTTAAGACCATTAATACTGAGGAAAATTAAGGAATACTGACTGCTAATTCTTGTTTGTTTTGGATTTGTTGTTGTTACTGGTGGTATTGTGTGTGGATTTATCCCACTTTTTCTTTTGTCTTTTGGTAAAGTTTGGATTATCTATTGCTTATGTTTTTGGGAGTGTAGCTAACTTCCTTAGGTTGGAGTTTTCCTTCCAGTATTTTCTGTAGGGCTGGATTAGTGGATATGTATTGCTTAAATCTGTTTTTTCATGGAATATCTAGTTTTCTTCATGTATAGTGATTGAAAGCTTTGCCAGTTATAGTAGTCTGGGCTGGCATCCATGGTCTCTTAGTTTTTTAAGAAAATCTATCCAGAAACTTCTGTCTTTCAGAGTTTCCATGGACAAGCCAGGTGTAATTCTGATAGGCTTGCCTTAATATGTTACCTGGACCTTTTCTTCCTTTGCTGCTCTTAATATTCTTTCTTTATTCTATATGTTTGGTGTTTTGATTATTATGTTGAAGGAACTTTTTTTTTGTGGTATACTCCATTTGGTGTTCTGTAAACTTCTTGTACTTTCATTGGCATGTCCTTCTTTAGGTTGGGAAAGTTTTCTTCTATGATTTTGTTGAATATGTTTTCTGCACTTTTGAGTTGGGTTTCTTAACCTTCTTCTATACCTACTATTCTTAGGTTTGGCCTTTTCACTGTGTCTCATATTTCCTGGTTATTTTGTGTTAGGGATTTGTTGAACTAAGATTTTCTTTGATGAATATCTTTCTCCTAGTGTATCTTCAATGCCTGAGATTCTCTCTTCCAACTCTTGTATTCTGTTGGTTATGCTTATATTTGTAGTTCCTGGTCATTTACCCAGCTTTTCTAATTCCAGCATTCCCTCAGACTGTGAGTTTTTATTGTCTCTATTTCAGTTTTCAAAACTTGCACTGTTTAATTGTTTCTTGCAATTTTTGGTTTGTCTTTTCCCCTATGTCTTGAATTTTTTGTTTATTTTTTCTCCCATTTCTTTAAAGGATTTTTTTATTTCCTGTTTTAGGGTCTCTACATCTTCATGAAGTTGTTTTTAAGGTTGTTCTCTTCTGCTTCATCTGTGTTGAGATGTTCAGGTCTTGCTGGTGTAGAGTCCCTAGACTCTGGTGGCGTCATATTGTTTTTTCTGTTGTTGAATGTGTTCTTAAATTGTCATCTTCCCATCCCTTCTTCCACTAGGTACAGGTGGGGTCTCTTCCTGTCTTGGTGGGTACAGGTCCAAGATTCTAATCCGGTGGGTGCAAGCAGGTCCAATACTCCGATGGGTCTCAGGGTGGGTGCAGGCGGGTCTGAGACACTCCCTCTCCGGGTGGGTGGAGGCAGGACTAGCACCGGATGTCAACATCTCATCAAGCAGAGGACTGGGGCTCATGAGCCCTACTCTCCCTAAGGAACAATAGCTAGTGTTTGCTGAGGAAAGGCTGACTTTGTCTTCAGTGGTATAGACACAGGTAAGATGATCAGGGATTGACAAAATTCCATGAATGAGCAGCTCCAGGACAAATGAGGTAGAAGGGGCAAAAAATGGAAGTGGAAGTTGCCAATAAAACAAAAATCACCATGATCACCAGCAGAGGCCATAGAGACGTATCACTGATGTGCTAGTTCATCATAGTGATTTACATTTGGGAACAGGGGACTTGTGTACTCAAGAGCAAAGTCCTGAGTGATTACTTTTATTGTTCTATTATTAAAGAAAACCCAGGAGTCAGATGTTAGGGTAAAAATCGACAGATTCACAGAGCGATGGAAAAATGATCAGCTGACTCAGCTTTTCCATGCTTCCAGGATTGAAAAAGGCCACAAATCTAAGCCCCTTCCTAATCCTTTCTGCATCTCTCTATCCTATTCTGGGTCTACCAAAAACTGTATGGTTAATCCTTGCCAGATGAATGTTGACTCTACCCTCTGATTCAATGTTTGACTTTATTGGAAATCTCGGTGTGAACAAATCTCCTGCAATAGAGTCCACTACGATAACACAGCACAGGGAAACATGGGGCTTGCAGTGAAGGCCAAGGTTCAACGACCTTTGAAATAGCTTTCTCTCCTAGGGTATGGAGTCTAAGCAATTCTTGTGCAAGACTTGATTCAATGCATGTGGATATCTTGCTGTCAAGCAATGCAACTACTCCTTGGGACTATGGGGTGGCAGGTAGCCAGAAAAGAAGTTGCTTTTTCTGGCTGATGCAAGAGGGACTAAAGACTAAGCTACTGCAGATCTTTCCTTTTTCTCAGAGCTGGAGCCTACTTTGCAGCTGTGACAGAACAATGGCGACCCATCAGAGCGTGGAACTGAGTAAAACAGGGGCGTCTGTGAATAAAACCAGCCTACATCTCTATAGACAACATGCACCATCATATTTATTTTGTTGCTTTTAAATACAACCCATGTTAGGAGCTCCTAGAACAAGAATTTTCTTGAAAGATACTTTCAAGTCTGAATCTTTGTAGTCGCTTAGAAGTTTCTGGGTATTGAATGTATTTTGAGGCACTCTAACTAGCCTGATAATAGTTAGTTAGTTAGTTAGTCAGTCCAGTCTGGCCCCAAACTGGTGGCAATCATCCTGCCTCAGACGCCTGAATGCTAGGGATTACAGATGTGCCCCATCCACCCAGCAGGCTTTCACTTATTATCATAAATATGTAGAGGAAACAATTATTTTAAAACTCAAAGCAGCCTATAACTAAACAAATGGACAAGGGTATATTGCATTTAGGCAAGATCAAACATTACACTCTTCTCAGAGAATAGTATTCTTCAGAATCAGCATGTACACAGTGCCGTGGGAACCAGAGGATGAAATGTGTTCTGAAGAGCTCAGGGGAGCTACACTTGGACCTATGATTCCCATTACCACCAGGACAAGCATGCTGGGCCTCTCCCCCATCTGTCCTTTGGCATGGTGTTTTATCCTTCCTGGTGCCAGCCCAGGAAAATGTGGTCACAACCCGATCTAGGAGAGGGCTTACTGCTGTCTACTTCAGATCCTTGTAAGTAATGGGGAATACCCGTACTAAAACAGTTGATTTAGGTTGCAATGTTTTCCAAAGACTTCTAATGGGAGCTCATGTCAGCTTCGGCTGAACAGCTTCAAAGTCATCACACACTTAGGTGCAGGGAGGAGACCTGCTATTTTTTCAAACTGACAAGTCTCTAGATGTATTTCAAAGCAGTTCCAGTTTTCCTAATTGTTTCATCACTGACTCATAGAAAGGGCTTAAAAATAATCTTTTTATCTTCAAACTATTTCGAGGGTAAACATGTTAGAAAAGAATGACATGGTTGTACGTATTTCTTATACAGCCTGAGATGGATTGTGGTTAATCATGGCTGAGTGACTCCATGCCTGGCAGTTTTTTTTCTTTTCCTTGTTTTTGAAGGATGCAGCAACATTTATTCAATAAACAGATCCCACATTATGTTTTTTTTCAAGTCAGGAAGTTTTTTGAGTAGCTTAATGCAGCTCCTAATTTTTGGAAAACATTTTAATATTCAACAGCATAAGCTAAGCTGTGAGAGCTCAAAGGCTTGACTATGAAAACTACTTGCAAGTTCAGAACTTTAACTACTTCTAAGAAGTAAAAAGAATAGTTCCTGTACATAAAGTGATGTTCCTGGACATCACAGACACGGCATCAAGAGGCATGAAACATAAAAGAAAAAACCGACTTCATTAGAATTCATTTAGTGAGCTAAGTTTTAGGAAATAAAAATGCAAGCCAAGAATTCTACGAAAACATCTGTAGGCCGCACATCTGATGAAGGACTCATAACTAAAGCATGCGAAGGACTCACCCCCAGGACAAAGTGGACAGCTGGACTAGTAGAAGAGCAAAGGCGTTCACACTATTTTCTCCAAGAAGATAATACAAATGTTCCATATAGCTTATGGAGGAGATGCTGGGCCATCATGAGTCACCAAGAAAATGAGTCAAAATTAGGAGGATCCCTCCTAAGGCTCCAAGCAACACAACACCACAGGAAATGAACGGCTCAGATGGTGGCTGTGGGAATTGACAATAGCACAGGGAGTGCTGAAAACAGCCTGTCAGTTCATCCTTGGGTTACTTATGTGAACATCAAAGACATTGAGGGATGAAAACTGCCCGGCGTGGTGCAGATGCCTGTGAGCAGGAGGCTGACCCAGAGGAGGCTCATGCTTTCAAAGCCATCTCTGAGTAAAACAAACACACACCCTCTTGAGAATGGAAGAGGAAAGCCCTCCCTTTCTAGAAGGGTTTTTTTACTCACTGAGGTTCCACTTCAGGCCCGTTGTTGTCACCTGGCTGCAATGCTGTCCAACAGGAATAAGGCCACACCAGCTGCCTTCCATTCCAGTGTCTACACGTAGCCTGTGCTTTCCCTGGAGGAGAAGAGCGAGCATGAAGAAGTGGAAAGAGAGGGGAAATCTGCAACACGCCAGGAGCCAACTAACACCCAATGCAGCTTATCACAATGCTAACCACAAAGTAACTCAGCACATATTTTAGTCTTAAGAATTGACTAATGCTGATTAAGTCCTAAGAGCTTTCTTTGTATCAGCTAACTGCAATTATGAGTTTTACAGTTAATAAACTGGTTAAATATATCCAGAGTCACACAGATAAAGTATTATTCCTTACACCTTCCAATTCTAAACACACTATCCATTGTACCCACTGAAGATGAAGCCTTTTGTGACAGTGAGTTCCAGGCTCAAAAACAAACATTTGCCTAATTACATGTACAAGATTATTTCCCAAATAGAATCTTTACTTACCTGACAGTTAGGTGTCTAACATTCAAAATTCAACATAAGCTCTACAAGGGGTTGCCTGTCTCCTGTGTCCATCACTGGGATCCTCACAATGTACACATAGGTGGACTGGTGAGGTTTTTGTCAACTTGAGACAAAGTACAGTCGCCTGGGAAGAGGGAACCTCAACCAAGGAACTGTCACCATCAGACTAGCCCGTGGACATGTTTCTGGGGGCACTTTCTTGATTAATGATTAAGTAAGAGAGCTCATTCCACTGTGGGTAGTAGGCAAGTGATCTTTGGCAGAATAAGAAAGTTAGCTGAGCAAGCCAGTAAGCAGAATTCCCCCATAGCCTCTGTTTCAGTTCCTGCCTTCAGTTTCCTGCCTTGGCTTCCCTTCAGTGATATCTGTAAACTGTAAGCCAAATAAACCCTTTCTGCCCCAAGTTGGTTTAGGTTAGTGTTTTAACACAGCCACAGAAAGTACTGAACCAATTGGGAATGTTTTATTTCAATATTCAATCAGGAAAGGCCTAACTATGATCAAACAAATTATTTTAAGGAACAATACATTTTGAACTGGGTGTCTGCTGTTGAGAGGAAAGACGAGAAACCATGCAGGAGACACTTACGTACGCAGAAGCACGGGTTGATTGTGGGACAGACAGCATGCCTGAGGGGCAGAAATGAGTCTGAAGGACAAGGCGTGAAGTAATCTTTTGGATCAATGATTAAGAGGGAGGGCTCAGCCTATTGTGAGTGGAGCTACCTCTGGCAAGTGGTCCTGGGTTGTATAAGAACACAGTTTGCTCATTTGTGGACTTCCGTGCAAGCATCAGAGCCATATCTCTGCATAAACACTTCAGGTGCTAATAATGAGTCAACACTAGTTCCACACTTGATAAAAAGGAACCGCATGAAGGTACGGTGAGTGGCACACTGCAGGCAGTACATGTGTGTGCATGGGGGCTGGGGACTGCATGTATTCCGCTGAATGCCCTCAGTTATAAATCTTCTCTACAGGTAAGAAAGTGGTAAGTTTTCAAAATGTCTTACAGCAACCCTTCAGATCTCCCCCCATCAGGATGCCAGGTCTGAAACCTACACTTGATGAGCAGTGCTCCCCAAAGGGAGCAGGAGTCACACCTCAGCTGCCGTTACAACTGGTTCTGGTTACACCTCGCAAAGCCTTTAACGTTCCGTAAGGCATGGTACGTCTTTACTGCTCTGTAACAGTTATTCCCTTAACGTGACTGAGACGGGCTAGTTTTCTGCACATTTGTTTCCCTCCTCCCTTCTATTCTCCAAAGCAAAACAATTCTCTCTGAAGATACGCATTCAGAATATAATGCAAATGGACATTCCGAACACCACACACTGCACATTTTGACAGATCCTGAGACAGGTGAAGGTGTTTCATTTATAATGTTTGCAGCTGCCAGCAGAAAGGGTGGCGGAGATGCTCGGTTCTTTTGGCTTCAGAAGGACGTGATCTGGTGGCATTCCATGAAGGTTGAGCCTGGCTCAGTTTCCTGTTTTAGGCTGCACATCTAGGGCCGCCATGGGAGAAATGCCACACACTCAGAGGGGCAACACCCTTTTGGCACACAGTAGTTAGACACAGGACTCGAGGCTGCTGGGAGGGAGACAGAGGGTTGCAGTCTGCTTGGAGGCCCTGACTTTTGGGCCCCCTAGCATTTCTGACAATGAGGGCGGCTTCCCACGTCTTATCAAGGTGGAATCCCCACAGTATGGGTGGGCCTTATTTTCAATGTGTTTATAGTCAGCCTTACTTTTAATGACTCTTCTGTCTTGTGCTTGGACTGCTTTATGTCTTGGTAGAAGCCAGCTAAATACGTCGTATGTTTGGTATTCTAGAAACCTAGTGAAGGATGATGAAGGAAAGAAATTAATTTTTTCAGCTGGTGGATATTAACTCCCTGGGAGGAGATCCTTCAGCTCCCAACATGTAACACAAAAGGAAACAGCACATATACATGTTAAGCTTTACTATCCTGGGGAGAGAAGCACTGCTGTAAAATCGCTGATTTAAGCAGCGCAGCTGGAGGCCGCTCTCCTCGACTTTGCAGGGTATTTGCGGCCTTTCTTGTTATTCTAAGAATCCAGGCACCTTAACATTTTCACTTTGGGAATAAACAAGTTTGGAGACAGATAGATCTTAGACTATCATCAATTAGCATTTTGTCTTTTGCTTTAAAAGCGTCTTTTGCCATATGTGAAGGGCCTTGGTGTTTATAAATATGCAAATTTAACTTTTATGGCCAAAAGAGAGCAGCATTACGTTTTCATCCTCTATCGGCATGTCAATGTGACGTCTCTAAAAAAATGAATGACTGGGTAAAGGGACTTTTGCTCATTCCCTAGATTTCTCAGTTTATAATATATGCTAGTCTATATGAGGTTTGACAGAGGCAGGCATCCAGCCTGACGTTAAAGAACCCCTGCAGGATTTATAGCATCACCGAAGACCAGAGGCACATGAACTAATCATTCACTTCCATATACTCCCATGAATCACCACTCAGGTTCCTGCTCCATCCTCTGTTCTCAGCTAAGATAACTCTTTGAAGTCAAAAGCAGTTTTATACAGCGAAGAAGGAACAAAAATCAATCATGCTTTGCCTTTTCAGTTTCGGTTATTTGAACATATGTGGTGTCTTTAATGTGGTTGAAACTGTAATCCAGTGAAAGGCAGCAAAGATGTTGCATGGTACATGTACTGGAAATCATGCTTAAGATCATGCTAAGGACAGACAGTATCATGTGATCATTTTCCCTAGATTATAATTCTAAGATGGAGCAATACACACGCACACACACACACACACACACACGCACGCACGCACGCACGCACGCGCGCACAGATAGTTACCTACTGAGAGCTAAGAGACCATTCCCATTACATTCTGTACTGTGCTTCTTTACTGCCAGGAGGGAGGTGTAATTGAAAGAAACTATTAAAGTTCACCCTAGATTTTGTCATCTACAAGTACTAAATATGAAGCCATCTTAATTCAGTTTATATCTCTAAAGCCTTAGCAACTATGTCAACATTTGCACAAGAATGTTTTAGAATATCTTAGTTATAAGCCTTACAAAATGCAAATGTATAGCAAATGGACAAGGTCACAAAACGTGGAACACAGGAAGAACATAATGACCTTTCTAGCGGATATAAAAGATTCCAGGGGCAGATGAGACTGGGGGCTCACAAAACAGTCATTCATTACATTTCTCTTAATGCTAAGAACGCACCCTTTCCTAACTGCTGTATACACTGCAAGTAAGCCACTGGACCTAGGATGAATGGAACATTCCTGAGCACTGCTTAAACACAAGGTCAACCTCTAGCTTGTCATCTTTTGCCACTCTGTCCAGGCACTTTAAATTGTATTAGCAAATACTGCCAGAAAGTAAATAGCCTGCATGAAAAACTTCAATGAGGAAGATAGCATATACACTGTCTGCACCAGAAGAAGTTGAAGGATTCACACTGTGTGCACCAGAAGAAGGTGAAGAATCCACACTGTGTGCACTAGAAGTAACTAATGGATCTGCACCATGTGCACCAGAAGAAACTAATGGATCCACACTGTGTGCACCAGAGGAAGGTGAAGAATCCACACTGTGTGCACCAGAAGAAGGAAAAGGATTCACACTCTGTGCACCAGAAGAAGGTAAAAGATCCACACTGTGTGCACTAGAAGTACCTGAAGTATCCACATTGTGTGCACCGGAAGTAGCTGTTGCTCTATGCACACAGCCTGGGGCTGGTATACTTTCATAATGACAGTGATCGTGTAACAGAAAGCAGCTCCATAACAAATGGTCCACCTAAACAACTCACATTTGCAAAACCTCATAGCTGGAGGACTCGCGAGACTCCTTTATTTTCCTTTACGGATACAAAATTCAAAACATAAGGGTAGAAGGTTGAACTAAATGGCCTGTATTGAAATTGAATCAGTATTAAAATACATTTTTAGAAACACACACACACACACACACACACAGAGATATAGCCACATACACTGTACATAACTTTGACATTTTTGTTTAATATTTTTACAACCAGAACATTTTAGAGATATGTTTCCAAATTGGCAACCTGTATTTGTTTTTTGCTCTGGAGATTATGTGGTAAAGTCAGGCTGACATTATATGTCTTCTGAAATGAATTAACCTTACTCTCTCGTTGAACAGTTAACACTAAATGATTAAAAAAAAAAAGAGCTCCTTCTTGTGGGTGGAAGAAATGGGAGGAGAGGAGGGAGGGAAAACTGTAGCTGGTATGTAAAATAAATAAAAGTTTAAAATAAAAAACGAACATATTTACATATAAAAAGAGTGCCTTCCTAATGCCAGTTAGTTTACGTCATTTATTCAAAAAGAAGGTCCCTTCCTCTACTAGTCCCCTAAATCTAGACTATTTCAAAATTAAAACTGATGAAATCTACATGCTTTTTATTTTCCCTCAAACCAGCATTTATGCTATTTTTCATGTTTCACCCTGTCTCTGTGCTTCCCTTTTATTGGAATTGGAGGAGAGAACCTGCTAAGTGCTGTCACACTAAAGTGTTGGAAGCTTTTTCTTCACCATTCCAA